TTCAGTAGAAAATGCGGCAGACTAAACCTCGACATATCAGCTTCAAATTTGGCATAGAGTCTTAGATATGTATAAGGAACAATGCCTGAAGAGTGCAGCTTTGAGCAAAATTTCACTGCCCCCTAGAGTACAGACTAGAGAGAGAAATACAAACCAAGGTGTATATATACAGAGGAGGGTGAGACCAGGTCCACAATGGTCAGGTATTAGGTAATGACCCTACTAATCTTTAAATAGCACACAACGGTTGGTGGTCAGGTCAGATGGTCAGGTGACCCGGCCTTCTCACCTGGTTACAAATCTTCTTAATTACAAAATTGTCCAGCTTGTACATGCCGTTACTCAAATTCATGTTGAATGCTTCTGTATGTTTAATAAGACTAGATTCTATGATGTTCCTACTATCCAGGGCTGTGGAGTCGGAGTCGAGGAGTCGGAGGAAATTTCGGCTTGTGGAGTCGGAGTCGGTAAAATTGTCCAGACTCCGACTCCGACAAGTTAGAAACATTGACAAGTCAAGTAGCTCAGATTCAGATTCAGCATCTTCAAACAAGGAAATAGACTTTGATTCCTACTTGGACACAATAGAACAAGCAAAGGTAAAGCGACATCGGAGTGAAAACGCAGCAGCGGTAGACATTAAAAATACGAGATTTCAGCAAGATTTCTTTGGTGCACTGATGGAAGTGAAGAAATTTGACCGGTCTTCAAAAGTGACAGTGGAAGAAGCCATACCTGCTTACCCAGAGATTGTAAAAGATGTAGCTAGAGCTGTGACAGCAATGCCACCCACTCAGGTCAGTGTAGAAAGACTGTTTTCTGCACTGAAAATAATCAGATCAGATTTAAGGGCTTCCATGAAGGAAGATCTGACTGAAGCTATTCTGTTCCTAAGAACAATTATATGAACTCAGGCATATTCATTGCAGTGATTCCACTGATCCCACTAATTTTCTTAAATTATTAAAAGAATTTATTTCCATTTTATAAGCATTATTATGAATTTATTGTAGCAGGCACAGTATAGCACTATAATTTTGAACGATAGTCTCTTCTTTACCATTTGAAATTTTGAATTATATCAAATTTTGTTTCGTTGAAAACTGCACAGAGGCTCTCAGCTACAAAACAATTAGCTACAACCTGTTTTTGGTGAGATTAAGGCAAATTTAATTTAATAACTTAATCATGTAAGGTTTATCCATTTTCCTTATTAAGGTATTCATTTCTTTAATGTACATAAATATATAACTTTACTTTAAAAGGAATTGTAGGATCATCATTTAGATCCACATCAGATTATGAGCTTAAACAAAATTCATATGCTGAGATCGAACTTTAGATATACATGTAAATGGTGTTTTCTAGTTAATATCTTGAATTCTTAATAAATTTATTTTTCTTTTGATTGAAACTTTGAAAGTCAAGCCTATCATCTTTTTGTAGTTCTTAAATATCGTCCAGATCATTAATAAAGCTGTAGCAGTATAGCCACGGTGTTTTACTTTTTACCTACGCAGGTTACAACATACAAATTACAATTAGGATGGTAGAAATAGTTGTTACAAATAGGCCAAGGAGTCGGAGTCGGAAGCATAAAAATTTGAGGAGTCGGAGTCGGAGTCGAAGGTTTTGTCTTCGACTCCACAGCCCTGCTACTATCAATTGAATTACATGGTAATATTGAGGAGGCATTATCCCAGTCAATGCAATGCTTGTTATCCCTCAAATGAACAAACAGAGCATTGGATTCCTGGCCTGTCCTAACACTGTATTTGTGTTGTTTAATTCTAGTTGCAAGATCTTTTCCTGTCTGGCCTAAGTAAAACATATTACATTCCTTGCAAGGAACTTTATAAATGCAACCAATTGTGTTGTTGGGGAGTTCTTTGATTAACATTTGTTTAACAGTGCATGAGTTTCTAAATGCCACATTGACGCTCCAGGCTTTAGTTTCTCACACATTCCTTCACAACTAAAAACCTGGAACGTCAATGTGGCATTTAAACCACTCCCACATGAGTTACGAAATATATTTCCAACCAGACTACAAACAACCAAACAAACCACCCAAACCATGTAATTCAATTGATAGTAGGAACATCATAGAATCTAGTCTTATTAAACATACCGAAGCATTCAACATGAATTTGAGTAACGGCATGTACAAGCTGGACAATTTTGTAATTAAGAAGATTTGTAACCAGGTGAGAAGGCCGGGTCACCTGACCATCTGACCTGACCAACAACCGTTGTGTGCTATTTAAAGATTAGTAGGGTCATTACCTAATACCTGACCATTGTGGACCTGGTCTCACCCTCCTCTGTATATATACACCTTGGTTTGTATTACTCTCTCTAGTCTGTACTCACCCCTGAAGATGTGAATTACACGAAAGCGCTTGGGAACTTCGTGTTTTCTTCTTTCCTTGTGGTTATCAGCATATATATATATATATATATATATATATATATATATATATATATATATATATATATATATATATATATATATATATATATATATATATATATATATATATATATATATATATATATATATACTGAAACAATAAGGATTAATTTTTATTCAAATGGGATATTTCTTAATTTTTTACCATATCTCTTAAGACCTTCATTAGTCAGGAATCAAGTTTCTGCTATGGCATTTCCAGCACAAATTGTAGGGTAGGTTAGGTTACGGAAAGTGGTATTATTATCATTTGGGTCATCCAGCAAATTTTAGGATTTTAAGTTTAGGTTATTTTTTTAATGATTCTGATCTACTCCAAATAGGTGGTTAGGTTAGGTCACCCCCTCCCCCCTAATTACGATAAAAACGATTTGGTTAATATGGAGAACTTCACAGCCATTTTCCCCGTCTCAATAACAGTAAGTTCACCCACAGCAGGTGTTAGGTTAGGCTAATTTGAACCGTAAATTTTTACTTTAGGATATGAGTCCCTAGGGGTTGACCAATATGTTTTTCCAGTGTACAGTTCTGTATTTTGGTGTTTTTTCAGTAAATTTGACCTTCATTTTTGGCAGAAATTGATAGTTTTTTGCCCCCCCAACAATATTGGGGAAGAGCCTGGAAAATCGAGGTGTTGGGGTGGGAGAGAAAACGAAAATGAGTCATCTAATCTAACCCAAGCTAACTCCTAGCAGGAGGCTCTGCCCCCGGACCCCCGGTAGGGCTAGCTTAAACTACCTTAATGTTTCAGGAGTTTAAAACTTTGGGGCGCGCCATGTCCGAAAGTACAATACCTTAGTTAGAAATGGAAGGACCAGGGATACGTAAGAATTGGATAGAATGATCGCCTTTCTCGTAAAACTCAGCAATATACTTAAAATAATTGTAGGAGCACAAATAACAACCAACCTCCACCACAGCCATTGTGAGACTGGTCAATGACATTAAAATCATACCCAGGCTGCTTCCTTTGTAAAAAATCAAATGTGATTGGTCGAAAAAAAATTTGCGTGATGATATCGATACATCACTGGTCACGACTGGATGGCGTCAGTCAATATTGCTCATGCGTGATGCGCCGATAACATCTCCTCACAGACGAAGACTGAAAAGCATGTAAAATCAATTAAATTCAATTGTGTCGCTCTTATCCATTTCCAAATAGTATAAATGGGGTAAATGCTCAGAATAAGGAAATCTAAATGTTTCAGGAATTTATAACTTTCGGGCGCACTATGTCCTAAAGTAAAATAATACCACTTGAACTTTTAAATAAACACTTTTGGATCACCTGAAGAATCATCGCCCCAACTTATTTCACCTAACGATTAAACCCCCCTAACCTAACTTAACCTAACCTAAACCTATTCTATCCTAATCTAAATCTAACCTAACATATCCTAACCTAACCTCATCCTCCCAAAATAGTTTTAGGGTGGTTTAATCGTTAGGTGAAATAAGTTGGAGCGATGATTCTTCAGGTGATCCACACATTTTAGCAAATTTGCCATAACTACGAGTGACCAAAATGAAAATGTGAAATCGCGGCATTTTATAATTGTAGTGGATATTTTGCTGTGGCCGTTTAAGTTCCTACTAACGCTACTTTACCGTGAGTGAACATAAGAAAATAAGGAGTCTGCAATAGACCGGTTCGCCTGTGCATGGCAGCTCCTGTCTAGAGTTACTACCACTCTCTATCATCCATGAATCTATCTAGCCTCCTTTTAAAAGTTTCAAGCGTTCCAGCACTTACTACAAAGTTGCTAAGCTTGTTCCACTCGTCCACACCCTATTTGTGAACCAGTTTCTTCCTATCTCCCTCCTAAACCTAAACTTATCCAACTTAAATCCGTTGCTCCGAGTCCTATCCTGCTCGGATATTATAAGAACTTTATCTATATCTCCTTTGTTGATTCCTTTCACCCACTTAAATACTTCTATCATATCTCCCCGCACTCTTCGTATTTCTAGGAAATGTAAGTTAACCTATCTTGATATGGAAGGTTTCTAAGTCCCGGAATCATTTTCGTCATTCTTCGCTGCACCGACTCCAGTGAATTGATATCCATTCTATAATAAAGGCACCAAAACTGAACCGCATAATCGAGGTGTGGCCTGACTAGTGCAAGATATAGTTGCTCTAATTGGCTAAGTACTTTCTGTTTAATATGACGGGGGTCTGTCCCCCAATTAGGAAGGGTAAGGTTAGGTTGGAAGGTTTTTTGGTTGGTTAGGTGAGGTTCTATTAGGTTCTAGTAAATTTCGCCTCTTATAATGGCAAGAACATGTGGGAAAAAATTAAAATCGAAAACTCCTTCGGGTTTATAACACAAGCGAAATAAGCCTAATGCTGCTTGTCACGGTCACATATCGTTCTCGCGTTGTTCGCTGGTAATGAAAGATTAGCCACTCAAGAGCGCACTCACGGTAAAATAGCGTTAATAGGAACTTAGCAGATCACTGCAAACTATCCACTGCTCATACATTGTCACCACATTTTCTCCTGGAAGTGTGAACATCTTACTTGAGTTGCCGTTGCTTGGTTCTTTACTCTTCTCCTTATCTTTAAGCATCTTTAGTTTCTTCTTCTGACTGTTTTTAATCTTCCTCATGAGGATCTGGTTCTGTAGTGGAGGAGCCATGCTGTTAACCCGTAATTTAACAGACAGTCAGACCCACACGTGTTAGCCACAACCAGCACAACAACAGTTTTATTTTCAGGTTACGTTACGTAGCAAATAAATAACTCTTAATAGCTTTCTACTTTAAAAAACAAATTATTTTATCTTAAATACACTTTAAATATTATTATATATTTGATCGTAAATATATATCTGTGCAATATATTTACACTGTAAAATAATTGGAGCCATAGTATATATTATGTTAACCGGAAGAAAGATCTAGTACTCTTAATCAATGGATGTCAAGGTCTTTAAACTGAAGCAATAATGGTAAAGTATGGGTATAAGAACATAAGGAGTCTGCAATAGACCGGTTGGCCTGTGCATGGCAGCTCCTGTCGAGAGTTACTACCACTCTCTATCATCCATGGATCTATCTAGCCTCCTTTTAAAACTTTCCAGCGTTCCAGCACTTACTACAAAGTTGCTAAGCTTGTTCCACTCGTCCACCACCCTATTTGTGAACCAGTTCCTTCCTATCTCCCTCCTAAACCTAAACTTATCCAACTTAAATCCGTTGCTCCGAGTCCTATCCTGCTCGGAAATTATAAGAACTTTATCTATATCCCCTTTATTGATTCCTTTCACCCACTTAAATACTTCTATCATATCTCCCCGCACTCTTCGTCTTTCTAGGGAATGCAAGTTAAGTTTCTTTAACCTATCCTGATATGGAAGGTTTCTAAGTCCCGGAATCATTTTCGTCATTCTTCGCTGCCCCGACTCTAGTGAATTTATATCCATTCTATAATAAGGGCACCAGAACTGAACCGCATAATCGAGGTGCGGCCTGACTAGCACAAGATATAGTTGCAATAAGACCTCTGCAGATGAGAAACATGATTACAGTATGTATTAGTTAACTGTTCAGAATTAAACCATCGTATAGAAAGCTATGTATTGAACTGAAATTAAAAGTAAATAAATTGATTTTCGTTTGACAATAGTTAATGAATTATAACTATCCAGCCTTTTACTTTTATCCTCTTTACCACTTATCGGCTTGTCAGCCGCTTAGGCCTTCGGTCACGTTTCTGCTACGCACTGTTGGCAAGTACTGGGCATGCACCGGCTCCTGAATGTACCTGAACCATCTCCAGTGTTGGTCAAGTCTGATCTTGAAAGAGCTCACACTCGGTGCCGTCACAACACTTTCTAGTAGATTGTTCCAAGAGTTCGCAACCCTCACTCCGAAAAAGTTTGCCCTCACAGGTTTCTGGACTTGCGTTCTTCACCCCAACACCACCCACACACCCCAACACCACCACCCACACCCTCCAACACCACCACCCACACCCTCCAACACCACCAACACGCCCCAACACCACCCACACATCCCAACACCACCACCCACACCTCCAGCACCACCCAACACCACCACCCACACCTCCAACACCACCACCCACACCTCCAACACCACCTACACGCCCCAACACCACCCACACATCCCAACACCTTCCAACACCAACACCACACATCCCAACACCTTCCAACACCACCACCCACACATCCCAACACCTTCCAACACCACCACCCACACCCCTCCAACACCACCACCCACACCCTCCAACACCACCTACAACGCCCCAACACCACCCACACATCCAACACCTTCCAACACCACCACCCACACTCCAGCACCACCCACACCCAACACCCCACACCCCATACCACCACCCACACCTCCAACACCACCACCCACACCCTCCAACACCACCAACACGCCCCAACACCACCCACACATCCCAACACCACCACCCACACCCTCCAGCACCACCCAACACCACCACCACATCCTCCAACACCACCTACACGCCCCAACACCACCCACACATCCCAACACCTTCCAACACCACCACCCACACCCTCCAACACCACCACCCACACCCTTCAACACCACCACCCACACCCTTCAACACCACCTACAACGCCCCAACACCACCCACACATCCCAACACCTTCCAACACCACCACCCACACCCTCCAACACCACCACCCACACACCCAACACCACCCACACACCCCAATACCACCCACATGCCCCAATACCACCCACATACCCCAGCTCCACCCACACACCCCAATACTTGACCACCAACCACCGACGGGTCAAGACGGGTCAGACGCACCTGGCGCTGCTCAGCAGCAGCCACGTCAACTGTTATGTTGGCCCTTACCATCTCCCTGCCCTGAACCCTCCTCCCCACCGGAATATCAACAAGTTCTCGCCAGAAGTTACTATTTCATTTGGGAAAGGAATGGAACCAGTGTTGAATAGCGGTGAACAGTGCTTAAGTCAGTGAGAAATAACTCGGCAGTTGAGTCTTACCCACTCAGTTGTGTTCTGACCTCACCAGTTGTGTTCTGACTTCACTCAGTTGTGTTCTGACCTCACTAGGGGAAAGGTCACGGCAGGGTTAGCTCCGGAGGGATAATTATCAGATATGGCCAGTGCTATGTGCGGTCTTGGGTATGAGAGTTTGTTGACCAAACTGGAGTGGTCCATTGAAGAATTGGCGAGGGCCAAGTTAGAAATTGAGAGGGCCACGTTGGAGAACCTGAAATTAAAGAAAGAGCTGGCGAAATTAAAAGGAGAGGCTGGACGAGTAGAGCCGGTGTCTGACGAAAACTCAAGCGAGTGGAAAGTTGTGAGTAGTGGGAAGACGAAGCTGGTGGTGAAGAAGTACACCAAGGATACGACAACAACGACAACAACAGCTAAGTGTACCAACCCGTTCAGTCCCTTGATAGACGAATTGGACGTTAGTACAGTCAGGGACAAGGATGACAAGGAAGGTATAAAAACTTTAATTGTTGGTGACTCACAGGTAAGGTACATGGACAGGGCCTTTTGTGGTAAAAACAAAAATAGGATGAGGAAGTGTTTGCCAGGAGCTGGGATGGGGGATATAATTGACAGGATGGACAATATCTTGTCTGGTAATGGGAACAAACCCATTATCTGCCTCAGTGCAGGAGGCAATGATATTGGCCGGTGTAGGAGCGAGGAGCTTTTTGATAAGTGCAAGGCAGCTATAGATCGTATTAGGACTAAGGGAGGGATCCCTATCATATGCGGTGTCCTGCCTAGAAGGAGAGTTGGCAGTGAATGGTTGTCAAGGGCAGTTGGTGTCAACGACCGTCTTGACAGATATTGCAAGTCAATATCAGTCCCATTCATTGACAACTGGGACAACTTCTATGGCAGAAGGGACCTTTATGCTGGGGATGGGGTGCACCTGTTTAGGGATGGAGTAGAAACCCTGGCTGGGGCTCTAGAGGGGGCAGTTCAAAAGATATCCAAGTCTTTAAACTGCTAGGAGAACATATGAGCACGGGGGTGGAGGTGACTGCAGTGGGAGCGGGTAAACAAAGTGAAAGATTACAGGGAAATAGTCTTAGGAATGATGACAAAACTAAATTAGACAGGGAGTTTAAAACTAAAAGCGGTAAGGGGAGGACTCGGAACACGACTAACTTAAATGTATACTACGCGAACAGTAGAAGTATGAGAAACAAAATGGATGATATTAGGGCCTTGGTATGTACCGAAAAAATCGATATAATTGCATTCACTGAAACATGGATCAACCTAGACACACGTGAGTTACCAGGCGAATACCAAATTGCTGGTTACAAACTGTTCCATACCGATAGGCAGACCAGGAAAGGAGGCGGAGTAGCAATCTATATTAGGGATAATCTGAAGTGTGAAATAAATAAGGAAATAAAAACTGAGAGGAATACAGAAACAATTTGGATAGAATTAAGCGACGGTCGGGAAAAATTAATCACAGGAGTAATATATAGACCCCCCAATCTTGATAGCATCAATGAGCGACTTATCTGGGATGAAATGCGCAGGGCTTCCATACACAACAAAGTCTGTATAGTAGGCGACTTTAACCTTGGCCAAATAGATTGGACTGACCTTACGGGTAACTCAGAATCAGAGGATTTTCTCGAGACGATCCAGGACTGTTTCCTAAGTCAACATATAACCGAACCCACACGGGTTAATAATATACTCGATTTAGTTCTGTCGAACAGAGAAAACCTCATTTGCAATGTCGAGGTAGGGAACGAACTTGCAAACAGCGATCACAAAGAAATTCGATTCCAGTTAGATTTTCAGGGCAGACGTAAGGAAAATTCCACTAAAGTACCAGATTTCAGAAGGGCAAACTTTGACAGTTTAAAGAGGCAGCTGAGAGAAGGGGTGTCGCGCTTGGCTGTGAACCTGACAGATGACACGGACCTGATAACGAGATCTGAGATTGCCGAGTTCCACGACAATTTAAATAGTGAGTTACTTAATGCACAAAGGCAGAACATACCATACAAAAAACTCAGATCAGACAACAATGACCCTAAATGGATAAAAAATTATTTAAAGAACATCATTGGCCAAAGGAAGGCTATAGGTAGAAGGATAAATCGTGGCGAAATTCACCTCCGGGACTATTATAGGGTATTGGCGAGTAGGGTTAAAACCGAGATAAGGAAAGCAAAGAGGAATAATGAGGTAAGGATAGCAAGGGAGGCAAAGACAAACCCCAAAGGATTCTACAAAATGTATCAAACTAAAACACAAGAAAAGATTGGACCAATACGGTCAGACTCCGGCGAGCTCACTGATAACGAAAGAGAAATGAGCAATAATTTGAATAAATATTTTTCAACAGTTTTCACCACCGAAAATTTAAACATGATACCCGAGGCACCGATCCTATTCAGAGATAGTGAAGAAAACAAATTAAGTGAGATAGTAGTGACTAGAAACGATGTTAGTAAGCAAATAGACAAACTAAAGCCTAATAAGTCACGTGGTCCCAATGAGATATTTGCCAGAGTATTAAAGGAATGTAAGGAAGAGCTTAGTATGCCCTTAGCAAAGTTGTTTAACATGTCCTTAAAAACAGGTGTAGTACCAGAATCCTGGAGGATAGCGAATGTAATGCCGATTTTCAAGAAAGGGGATAGATCACTATCCTCTAACTACCGCCCAATCAGTCTAACATCAATAGTA